AGATGAAAGGGGGGAGAGACAGCAGGCCATGCTTTTGTCATATTTGTTCCCTGTCTGCTCCTTGCTTCTTGCCTGGAACGCTGATGTGACAGCTGGGGCTCCAGCAACTCTCTTGGCTCATGAGGCCACCGTGAGACTGGAAGTCGGATGCTGAGGACGACAGAAGAGAAAGGTAGAAGGAGCCCAGGTTCCTGCTGGTACTGCGGCGCCACCGCGACATCCGGGACCTCTAACCTCTGGAATTTTCTTTTCACGTGAAGGAGAAGTAAACTTTTATTTGTGTAAGTCTCTTCATTTGTAGCTTCTGTCATTTACCGCGTTCTTACCTGCTACATCCGTTACACGGGGTCGCTTAAGCACCGATCTCTCTGTTACCCAATTTGGAAGGAATCTGCCCGGAGTGCATTACGTCCTCTCTTCCCTTTTTATTTATTTATTTTTTTTAATATATTTTATTGATTTTTTACAGAGATGAAGGGAGAGGGATAGAAATTTAGAAACATCGATGAGAGAGAAACATCAATCAGCTGCCTCCTGCACACCTCCTACTGGGGATGTGCCCGCAACCAAGGTACATGCCCTTGACCAGAATCGAACCTGGGACCTTTCAGTCCACAGGCCGACGCTCTATCCACTGAGCCAAACCGGTTCTCTCTTGCCTTTTTAAACCAAGTGTGCGAGGAACCTGGGGTTGCTATATAACCTAGACGACACCCAGTGCATTTGCATTTCAGATAAGCAACCAATAAATTTTTCATGTACCAAATACTGCTCGGGACATACTGATATTAAAAAATAATTGGTTGTTCCTCTGAAATTCAAATGTAACGAGGAGCCCTGTGTTTCATTTCCTAACCCCGCCAGCCCGACTCGGCACTCGCCTCCGGCCGCTCGCTGGAACGAGGTGGGCAGTGGCCGGTGGACCCGTCGGGGCAGGGGAGCCGGACTCCCACTGCCGTGCTCTTTCTTGCTCTGCTGCAGCCCAGAAGGTTCCTGTCTCATCGGCGGTGAGTCTGTCAGTGGCCCTGCCTGTTGCTGTCTAAGCAGCGTGTCTGTCTGTCTGTCCCTGCCCCTGCCCTGTTGGCAACGTGCCCTCAGGATCTGGGGGCACACACAGTGTTCAGCGCGCGTACCCGGGAGCTGCCAGGCTGGGCCCCCCTCCAAGACCCCCACTCTCAGCTCCATGACCTCAGGCGACTCCCGTGACCTGTGAGCCTGGATCCCCCCCCTACAGTCACGTGGGGGCAGTCAGAGCTGCCTCCGGGAGATGTGGGCGGAGTGAGGGACACGCTGGGGCAGTGCCCGGCCCTCGCCAAGCACCGAGGCCCGCTGGCAGTTGCTGTTCGGAGGGCTCAGCAGTCGGATAACCGGCCGGAGCAACAAGGGCCCAGGAGTAAGACATGAGCTCTGGGACGCGGAGGTCCCTGGGAGGGGGCAGAGAGAGCGAGGGCTTGGCTGGTGACAAGGGGGGGCGGGGCTTTAGTGGCCAGTGTAGGTGTTGTTATGTGTCCCCCAAGTTCACATGCCGAAGCCCGAGCCCCCAGCACCTCAGAATGACTGCATTCAGTTCAAGTGAGCTCATCGGGTGGGCCCGCAGCCAGTCCTGACGGGTGTCCTTATAACTAGAGGCGATAGGACACCGGGAGGGCTGGCCATGTGAGGACACGGCGGGGGACAGGACAGGCCGAGAGGCCTCAGAGGAACCGTCCCTGCCGACACCCTGGTCGCAGGCGCCAGCCTCGCGCTGGGAAAGCGCTTCTGCTTGGTGCCAAGGCGGCTGCAGTGCTTTGTCACGGCAGCTCGGGCAGATTAATGCAGGTGTCAGGACAGAAGGCTCTGGAAGGACCGTCTGGAGGCAGCCGTTCATCCCTTCCCCGCAGTCACTGTTGTTGTTGTTGTTGTTATTGATGTGAGGGGCTCTTCCGGGCACAGGCAGCTCAGTGACGGACGCCATCGTCCCGAGAACAGGCAGAATCGTACGTGACGGGATGCGGGAACCAGAGGATGGAAGGCAGAGCGGATGCTGGGCTCGGGGGCTGTCTGGGAACCGGAGGCGGGAGGGGCATGGAGACAGGGAGCTGCCAAAGAGGCTGCCAGAGGCGGGACCAGCTGACCTGCAGGTGAGCAGCCCGATGGGGAGTCTCCAGGGGCAGGGAATGGAGGGGGGCATTTCAGAGACACCCCCGCCCAAGGAGGCCAGAACTGCAGGGCTGAGCAGGGAGAGGAGAGAGTGGCCAGGGGAGGCTGGGGATGGACGAGGAAGGTGGGACCCCACAGCCTCCCGGGCCTGAGCATTTGCATTTTATTCCAAGCGAGGGCCAGCCCCCAGGGTGCAGCTGCAGAGGGACAGTCTCAGCCGTTCCCGCCAGCCCACGGCCAGGCCTGGCAGCGCGACCTCCCAGGTGGCCTGTGGAGCCGCGGGGGGCTGTGGGAAGCCGGCTGTCCCTTACCCGGGGATTAGAAGTCCCTAAGGATGGAGGTCGGCAGTCTGCCTGGAACTGAGGGAGATTTCCACCAGGCACAGGTGGGAAAGAAGGGAATGTGCTCATTCATTCATTCATTCATTCTTTCTTTTACAAATATTTCTGGGGCCCTACTGTGTGCTGAGCACTGCTCTGACGCTAGGGACACGCCGTGAATGAAACAGCCAACTTCTCTGCGCTGGGGAAGCCACACTCACTGCAGGGGGCCAAGTGTGACAAATCCGCAAAAAACTGTACGTGGGCAGGTGCTGACACCCCCGCGCAGAAGAGAGGTACAGCCGCGGCGATCAGGAGGAGAGCGAGGGGCGCTGGGTGCTGTTTGGGCGGCGGGAAGAACTCTGATGAGGCGACAGCCCAGGAGAGGTGGATCCCACAGTCAAGGTGGCCATTTCCAGGGCCCCAGGCAGGGGGCCTCCTCCTGTCATGGAGCAGCTGGGCTTGGAGACGGCGGCCTCCGCCCTGGCAGTGTCTTCATTTGTCTAAACATGGGGGCGGGGCCCCCTGGGGAAGAATGCCAGCAGCTTAGAGAGATGAACAGTCTAGGGAGCGTAGGCCCACCGCTGGCCCAGTGTGGACACGTGTGTCTCTCCCCGCTGCCTGCACGTGGTAGGTGCTCAATAAACACTCCTTAACTGAACAAGGGAGAAAGCCCACGGCCCACACCCGGCGGCTGGCGGGTCTGGCGTCTATGCGGGAAGGGCTCTGTGTAAACGCACCGAGAGGCAGATGGGGGGGGGGGGGGAGGGCGGGGCGGGGGGCTGCCACCCGTGGCAGGTGACGGAGCAGAAGCAGCACGGCTGCCCGGGTGGAAGGGCTCTTGCTAATCGTGAAGCGTGTTTGGCTTTGTCACCCGGTGCCCTGCAGGGCATTGCGCAGAGCAAAATGGACGGGGCCACGGGGCGCGGCGCAGTTACCCACGCAGGCCACGCAGGGGGGCAGGACGGACGGGAAGCCTTCCTCTCCTGGTGGGGACGGAGCCGGGCTCGGCCCCTCCCTGGGGGCGGGGGGGACGGGTACGGTGGTTTTGTGTTGGTGGAGAACAGGCCAGCCGACCCTGAAGGTCATCGCAGAGGCCTGGCTCCGGAAAGAGGGGCCACTGCGACCACCCCCATGCTCTCCAGCCTCAGCCCGGAGGTCCTGCCCCCCACCCCCCAAGAGGCAGGGACTCTCCTGGGTCAGGCGGCCACCTCAAGCTTTTCCCGGGGCTCCTGCCTCACCCCAAAGAGGGAAAACCCTGACGTCCCCTCTGAGTAGCCCTGTAGAGCGACATCGGGTAGGACGCTTTCCCGAGGCTCACCTGGTCCTCTACGCTGTTACCCACAGAAACGGGGCAGTGCGGCTATTGCACATTAACCCACATCCGGCCGCCAATGGGAAAAACGGAACCCCGCCTGCCCCCCACCCCGTGTGGGCAAACTGCTCACTGCCCGTGGTAGAGAACCGAAAAGGAGCTGGGATGCATGCATTACTTGTCAAGGTCTACGTCACAGGGCCACTTGGGTGGCAGAGCTCCGAGGACTCGGGGCTAAAGGGAAATCCAACACGGGCTAGAACTTGTTCTCGAAACAGCATGGGGAGAGAAGGTGGAACTCAGGGACCCATAGCGTGGGCGGGTCCTAAAAGATGACCATTGTTCTCAAGTTCTTTTTTTTTTTCTTTTTTAAATATAGTTTTATTGATGTCAGAGAGGAAGAGAGAGGGAGAGGGAGAGAGAGATAGAAACATCAATGATGAGAGAGAACCATGGATCGGCTGCCTCCTGCACGCCCCACACTGGGGATCTAGCCTGCAATTTGGCATGTGCCCTGACCAGGAATCGAACCGTGACCTCCTGGTTCATAGGTCGATGCTCAACCACTGAGCCACGCCGGCCGGGCCCTTCTTTCTGATTGATTTCAAAAGGAAGGCTCATTTCACACTAATTGTTGGCCTGGCAGGTGTCTCGCTAACCCCTGGTGACAGTGAGGGCTGCTGTGCCATCGCCCCCCACGCTTAGGATGGCCTCGTGCGCGTATCTGCACAGCGAGCTTTGCCGAGCCCTCCGGTGCATCACGGACGGCACTGGAAGTGAGATCCACACGGAGCACAGGTCACACGTGCCCCGTGAATGCCTGTCAGAGAAGCACATGGGCTGTGGGTTGGATAGCAAACCAGTTGTCAGGCTGAGAGAGAAGAACCCCCTGCCCGTCTCGATGGCTGAGAGCAGACTCCCGAGCCAGGGCCCCGGTCCTGGCCCCGAGCCGTGCCGCCCAAACCTCCGTGTGCCTTAGTTTCCCCGGCTGTGAAGTGGCGGTGATCACGCAGCACCTGCCTCCGAGGGCTGCGGGAAGGATTCAGTAAGCCAACGCAACTGAAACACTAGAAAGATGCTGAGCAGCCTTTTTTTTTTTGTTTTTAATCTTTACCCGAGGATATGGTTATTGATTTTTATTTTTTTAGGGAGAGAGAGAAACATTAATATGAAAGAGAATATGGATAGGTTGCCTCCTATATGCACCCCGAAACCCACAACCTAGGTATGTGCCCTGACCAGGAATCAAACCCGTGACCTTTGGGTGTATGGGGTGACGCTCCAACCAACTGAGCCACCCCAGCCAGGGCAGGTGTCTGCGGTTTTAAGCCACCGGGTGTGTGGCCGTCTGTGGCAGCAGCCACAGGAGACGGATACAGGTGACACTGGAAGGGACAGAAGAACCTGCTCTGGTCCCTGAGCCTGCGTATGTGGTCTGGCCTTCGCCCACAAGAAAACTACTTGGTATCCTTTCTGCTTTCAGAGAGTTGAAATTCCTCGGCCCAAGACTTGATATCATCTGCGGGGGGGGGAAACTGAGTCGCAGCGCAGAGGTCATCCTCAAGGTCACGCGAGGAGGTGGCGAGGCAGGTTGCTCATGTCACAGGGGCGATGACAGGTACAGAGAAATCACAGGACGGAGGATCCGAAGGTCCACGTTCTAATCGAAGCTGTGCCTCTCACTGGCCGGGTGACCTTGGGCGAGGCCCTGCCGTGTCCCGGGTCTTGGTTTTTCTGTCTGTGAAATGGAGGGATTTGGCTGCGTGCCCTGCGAGGTCCCTTTCCCTGGGACACCCCGTGGGTGCGCGGCCACCCCCTGCCACAGCGAGGAGTGCAGTATGGCCTGCCCTTGGCTCCATCCCCCAGCGTAGCCTGGCAGGCCGCTGGGTGCAGTGCTGGCGCGGTGCCGGCCACGCTGGCCCTGGTGCACTGCAGCGCCCGGCCTGTCCGTCCCCGGCAGGTGCAGAGCCTCCCCTCCCGGTCCTGCTCAGAGGCAAGTCGCACACCAGCTCTCACTTCAGTGATAAGAGGCAGATGCAGTTGGTGCAGTGGGTCCTCCTGAACAATGGACTAAGGAGCCTCTGGCGCCTGCCTGTGCCCCCCCTTCTCCCTTGTTGTCCTTCTCAGACTCCGAGTTTGCATTCCATTCAGAGTCTTTCCCGCACCCCCTCCTGCCTCTGGACTTCTCTATTCCGCACCCTCTCCTGGGCATTAGGTTAGGAGGTACTGTTTTAACCAGTTCTGCATTTAAAGGGTCTCTCTCTCTCTCTCTCTCTCTCTCTCTCTCTCTCTCTCTCTCTCTCTCTCTCTCGGAATGTTCTCACGAAGCCCCTGTCTCAACCTGAGACGATGCTACCTCAGTGGAGGCAGGAGCCAGAACTTCCAGAATCCCAGACACACGGGGACAAAACTCACTCTGTGGCCATCTTATATGTGTCCCACGCATACCACGTTTTTAAGGTGCATTTTCCTGAAGGAAAACGAAAAAGACCGATTTCCCAAACTGTCGAAAAGGCGGACAGAGAGGAAGTGTCCTATTCTCTTTACCCCGGGTCGACCGACCGCTGTCCTTGGTAAGGAAAGTGATGGTGTGGACTTGCCTAAAGCAAATCAGAGCATCACTGCTTTGCCTTTCCCCTCTCTGTCCCTTCCCCGGGCGCCAGGCTGCAATCCTCAAACTTCAAACAAGTGGCACCTTCTCCAAAATGTGGGCTCCGAAGGGACGGAATTAAGAATTCTGCAGTCCCAGTCTCTCTCTCTCTCTCTCTCTCTCTCTCTCTCTCTCTCTCTCTCTCTCTCTCTCCCCCCCCCCCCCTTTCCAGCCAGAAAAGCATCTTAGGTGAACCGATGTAGGAGGTGGAGCGAGCCTTGGACCTGGTTGTGAGGAAGTGCGGGAGGGAGGAGATGCGTCTCAGGCAGAGCAGGCGTCTTGCAGTGTCAGGGGTTTAAATTAAGCAGGGGGGCGGGGGAGAGACCATCCCGCACCGCACCGCGGGCTGCAGCCAGACTCCAGCATCCTCCGTGCAGCACCAGCTGACACTCCGAGCGGCTGCCTCCCGGCTGCAGTCTGCAACTTGCCGGCAGGCGGGCAGGACGCGGCGCGGCGCGGAGCGAGGAGAGAGGTAACTTTCGGGGAGGCGTGCGGGTTCCCCGAGGCCGGGCTGCTCGCCCTCCGCGCCTCGGCTGGCCGGACAGAAGGATGCCCGTTCCTTGGGGTTTTAAGCCGCGTTCACTGAGACTTTGCACAAACTCTGGGCTCCGTGAACTTCCTCCGGGTCCTTCCCCGCCGGCTTCCCGGCCGCGCAGTGTGGGGAGAGCTGAGTCAGTTCACGGGAGTCAGATTCTCGAAATGATTGTAAAATGCTGCCCAAATGATTCTTTTCAAATGGGTCTCTTTCTCGTGTTGGTGTGCACCTTGCATTTGAATTAAGCTGCAAAGAATCCAAGTTTGTGGCAGAAATTTGAGGGCGGGGGGTGGTGGTGAGGATGGAAAAAATCCTTCTCCATTGCAGCCGGCTGCGGGCCGGCCACCTGGTCCACCGCAGAGGCTGCCGCGGTGCGGGCGGCCTGGCGTCACCCTGGCAGGAGCCTGGGCCTCCGATCCCCCCGCCCTGGCTTCTCCAAGCCCCCCACCCCGTCCTCCGTCTGCTCGCCCACCCACCCTCTGCAAAGGACCCTGGTAAGCGAGCGGGTGTCCGTGACACTCGGGGTTTGAAGGAGAATTTGGACACTGCAGCTTTAAGAATGCCGTACTGCGAAATCTTTCTCCTTCAAGTGACTGCAGAACCGCAGCAGCGGCGGCAGCCGAGGGGGGGGGAGGGAGTGGGGGAGTAGGGTGGGGGGAGGGGGGAGGGATACCCACTCTCGGTCAGCCGTTGGGTACCTGGGACTGGGGAGCGTGAGCCCCCTGCAAAACCTAAAGCACAGCCAGGACCTTCCTTGGTGGACGTCCCTCCCCCAGGCTCGGGTCGGGGACCCCACAGACTTACGATGAGTTTGCGCGAGTCCTGGCCGCGGTGCGTGCGTTCCGCCTGGCGGACGGGCTCTCTGAGCGGTTCCCCAGGCGATCGGCAGTCTCTGCGGCCTGGCTGAGCCCCGGGGACACAGAGGCGGCCTGGCGGCCTTGTTACCTGGGGGTGGAGCTTTCATTCTCTGGGGTTTAGCGAGGTGAGCTTTGGAGGGAAACTCGAAACGGTGATTGCGACTGCAGGGGCGCAGGCTGCAGCACTGAAGAGGGGTGAGCCCCCTCTGCGTCTGTGGGTGATGAGTGATGCTGGGGTGGGGGGGCGCCGGCAGTCGTGGGGGCTCCAGAAGGGGTTCACCCAGGCGGGGACCCCACAGAAGCAGCGGACAGCGCTCTGGGGGCCAGGGCTCTGGCTGGGGAAACGCACACGCAGCCCTGGGCACCTAAGCCCTGGGCTCCGTGGTCTCGGGCCGGACTCTTCCCCACCAGCCAAGGGCAGCCCACAGCCAGCTGCTGCCTCAGTGGGCGCCGGCGGGGTCTCCCAGGCTGGCACCGCTCGCGTGGCGTCCCCAGACAGACGGTGCTTGGACCGCGGTCTGCACTGGGGGTGACGCCATGCAGGGCCGATGGTGGCATCTGCCCAGGTGGTCCCGGGCAGAGGGAGCGCTGAGTTCCTCCAAACTCCACCTGCAGCACAAGGTGTCTTTTTACAGCAATAACAACAAAAATTAAAACAAAACAAAAAAAGCTCTAGGTCTCACAATAAATCAGCTCTACCTCTCAGGGCCAGCAAACCTCTTGGATATAAATGGTCCAGGCAGCCCCCAGCAGCCAGGGACTGAGGCTGCCGCCCCCCCCCCCCGCCCTGACCCTGAGGGCTCCTGCCTTGGGCTCTGTTCTCGCACAAACAGGAGCCGGCGGGAGGGAAGGTTCATGGTGAGAAAGCCCTGCTCCCCCTCACCCCCCCACTGCAGGGGCCGCTGGCATGAGGCTGCTGGGGGTGAGGGGTTCCGGTCAAACCTCCTGTCACCTAGACAACTGTGTCAGAGGGTCTAGCCCGCTGGGCTGCCGAGACTGGACAGTGCTCTGCGGGTGAAAGAAGCCCCTCCCCCACACTGAGGTGCCTTCCTGGCCGCCCCCCCGCCCATGTCTTTAAAGCCATCTCTGACCTCTGCTCCCAATCCTGGTGTGTTTGCCGGACCCCTTGAGTGATATGCAGTCGCTTGATGTCTCTGGACTAACACCCTTGAAGGTGAAAGATTCGGAGCCCGATGAGCCATTGGGTGCCGCAAGCCGGGGTCCCCTGAGGTCAGCAGCCCATGGGGCTGGAGTGGAGCCTCGCTTGTGCATCAGGTGGCACTTGCCCGTGGCCCCCACTCCAAATGACTGGACCAAGGGGAGGGCTGTGCAGGTGGCCTCACCCCTGGGGAGTGAGAGAAGGGACTGCCCAGCCCCGATGTCAGAGGCGCACCCTCTGTTCCTGGAATCAACTCCTTTGTATCTGGAATCGGCCGGGAGATGGGCCTCTTGTCAGTGACCGAAAAGCAATGGAGCCGTTGGCCCCCAGCACCCCGCCAGGTCCCCTAGTCTCGGCTTCCCTGTGGGCGGTCAGGTGAGGCAGAAACTTCACAGATGTGCTCCGTCCGAGAGGGAGCAGGCGACACCGAGCCCAGGGCTCTGGCCTCGCTCGCAGCGGCTGTGACATGAGCCACCAGCCCGAGCAGAAAGATGGGCTTCCAGTGGCTTCTCACGGCCAGGCCTCAGGCCGTCAGGGCCACAGGGACCACATCAGGGCGGTTGGGGATGGAGCGGCCAAGGTGACACCAGCCCCTCAGGGGTAGCCGGAGGGGAGGTCCCTGGACACCCCCATCCCTGGGGCAGGACAGGGAAGCCAGCTGCACTGAGGGGCCAGCGCTTCCCAGGCTCTGTCAGGAGAGAAATCCCAGGCACCTGTGACAGCCGCCACATGCCCCCAGTGTCCCCATGTCCGGCCCACTAGCCGGGGCTGCAGGGGGATGGGAGTGAGGCCAACACTCTCCCCTCCTGGCCCCCAGATCAGCTCCCCAGGGCCGGTACTGACCCCGCAGTAACCCCCAGAGCATAACAGGGGTCTGGGCTGGTCTTTAAAAAGAATCCCCCAGGTCTCCATCCCCCAGAGGACCCAGGGCAGGTGCATTATGGTGCAGGAACGGTTGAGGGGGGAGATGGGGCTGGAGCTGGTCCCTGAGTGAGGTGGGGATGCCTGCAGTTAGGCATGTGTGGGCGGGGGCGGGGGGGGGGGTGCCTGCAGGAGCTCATTAGACGGGGGTGGGGTGGGGTGGGGAGGGTGGGGGGGTGTCTTGGTCCGAGGCTCAGGGCACCTGGTAATGCAGCCATGCTGACTCAGGGCCTCTCCGCTCTCCCCCCTCCCACCCCACCAACTGCCCCAGCCGTGGCGGCCCTGCCTGGCTCTCCAGGTCTCCTTGCGCAGGGGCAGAGGGAGCCCAGGCTCCTGCAGGCCCTCCCCCGCCCGGGGCCAAGTCAGCAGAGCTGGCTGCGGCTGCAGCGGGCGGCGCAGAGGCCCTGCACCACTGCTCAGCTGGCGCCCGGCCGCTGTCCCCACGGCGCCCCCTGGCGGCTGCGCACAGCCGGCCTGAGCCGGGACGGGTCCCTCATTGGTGCAGGGAGTGAGCCTCTGGTTTGACTGATACAACCTTTCTTCCCGACTCTACTCCCTGGGAGTTGAGGACCAGGAGCGGACGCAGCCTTCCCCGAGGGAGGGAAGGATGGTGAACAAGGCCCTTGCACCACCCGGCTCGGCTGGTGCATCGTCTCACAGGCACTTTGGGGAGGAGCGCCCACCAAGCCTGGGACCCGTTGGGAAGCCTCCATAGCAGACGGGGGTGCAGCCCCGAGAGGTGGAGGCGGAGATGGGCCGGGGGCTGTGCCCGGGGCTGTGTGCCCCCACCTGGCTCCGCTCTCATTTGGATCACGGACGTCAGTTTGGAAAGTGAGGCTGCCTTCCCAGTTGGCGGGTAAGGAAGGGACCCCCCGCACAGGCACCCTCTGGGGTGAGGGCAAAGGGGCCTTCTTGGGCTCCACTCTTGAACGCTCCCCCTCGGGGTTCCTGGGACAGCCTGGAGATGGCTAAGGCACAGAGGCGGGAGGAGGGGTCCCCCTTGTCATGGAATTGGTGGCAGAGGTTAAAGTTGGATGTGGAGGGCGCCCAGCTTCCCCTGCAGAGGGCAGCGGAGCAGCAAACGTGGGCGGGGTCCTGCCGCAGCCCCCCCTCCCGGATGAGGTGAGAGCCGTGTGGCAGGAGCCAGGGGTTTGGGGACAGAGAGGACAGTCCCAGGGCGTCTGCCCAGACAGCACCGTCTCTGCCCAGAATAGCAGGCTGTGGTGCGGTCTTCATTTATGCCAGCGTCATGAAAACGCTGCCCGCCTTGTCCCCAGGGGCCTGTTCCTGGCAAAGCCTTGTCTCCTGGCGCGATGGGAAGTGATGTCACACTGTACCCAGGAGCCTGCTCTTCTGGGGCCGCTCACGGGTGCGAGGCGGTTCAGAGCCTGATGCCTCTCCTGCCTGGACCTGGACTTCTGTGGGGAGAGCCTCGGCCCTGGGACCGCTTCTCCCAAATCCTCACCCGAGTGTCTCCACCGTGGAGGCTGCCCTTGGGGCCTGCGTTGCCCCGGGAGGGAGGTGGGAGGTGGGGCAGAGAGGGCAGGCATCCTGGGGACTGCGGACCCTGCTCTGAGCTGATGTCATCAGCTGTGGGGCCTGCCCAGGCCTGCGGCTGCCCCAGAACGGGCAGCAGGGCCTCCTGCTCAGCCCAGGACAGTCACAGCCCTGCAGATTCCCTGCCAAGGACACAGGGACAGGCGGCTCCAGAGGATGCCTGCACCCTCCAGGCAGAGCCAACTGGCAGCCCTGGAGGACAGGGGTCGAAGGAAAAGGGGGGTCAGGGGAACAGATGGTGGGCCTGGTCTGCAGCAGGAGACGGGATGCTGATGGTGCCCACCCAGGAACCCACCGGGAAGGCACAGACCCAGAGCCCGGAAGCGGGGGGCTACCAGGGATGCAGGTGGGGGGCAGCAGGAAGGGGTCCCGGTGCCGCTGGGGTCCTAGGGCGCCAGGACCAGACCCCAAGCCCTGGCCCTTCCCTGCTGACTGGTGTTGCTTGGCACACACGCAGCGTCAGCTTTTCTCACTGCTCTCCTCGCAGGTCTGAGGAAGGCCTCTCCCCCCGTGCGGGAGCTTCTGCCCCGAGAATGAAAGCTACTCAGGGATGTCTGGTCTCGGCGCCGTGCTCAGGGAGGAGCGCAGTGAGGCCCAGAGACGGACAGAGTTGCCCAAGGACACGGGAAGCCCAGGGTAGACCTGGGAGTCCCTGGGACCCGTTCCGACCTGGCAGGTGGATGGAGTCGTCAGCGCTGCACCCGTCGGGCACCCTGACTCGGGCGAAACAGAACCAGGTGAGGAAATGGGGGACCGGGAGGTGACACAGACCTGGGGCCCCAAGAGCCATGGGCAGATCTTCCTGAGCGTCAGGCCGTGCTGCTCCTGGGACGGGACGCTGCCTCCCAGCAGGCCTCAGAGCCTCCGATTTACAACTCTCAGCGGGCAAAGTGCCAGGGGATACAGAGGGGGCATAGAGGGGACGGGGCGGCGGGGTGGGGGGGAACTCGGGCTTTTGTGGTTCCTCCTCCTTCACTGCTGGGAAATTAGGGCCACTGGAGTCTGGCGGCTCCCGGGCAGGTTGCCGGAGTTGCAATTCCGGCTTCCTCCAGCAGAGGGCTCCTGAGGACGCGGGAAGGAAACAGCCCGGCGGGGAGGGGCGGTTTTGGGGGTGGGGGGGTTAGTTTTATATGATCGCATGCATGCAGGCAGGAGAGGGTTTCAAGATTTTGTGTCGACGAATAAAAACTAGGAAGTCTGCTTAGAAATTCCCTGCCGTTCAGGACCCGTGACTTCTCCTAGGTCACCCCGTTCACTCTGGGCTTCTTACGGAGCTCGGTCCAGCGCGCCTCGCTTGCAGTTGCTCTCCTTTCTCAGAGCAGGCGGGGCTAGATGCTCATGCACCTGTTCCCTGAGGATATTAACATATTCCCGGGGAGGGCTGCCCGTCTTTGAATTGGGGGGGGGGGGGGGCAAAGGTCAGATGGGACAACCCACCAGCGACACTAAACTGAGCTCTCTGGCTGCCCGTGTGTTTCAGGCGGTGCCTGTGCCCACCCCTGGCTCAGGAGACATTACAGAGCGACAGTAGCAAGTGAGGCCGCGAGTCCATGTGGACCAGCCA